GTGTGTGTGTGTGTGTGTGTGTGTGTGTGTGTGTGTGTGTGTGTGTGTGTGCAGCTCGCACCAGCAGCCCAGAATACACTCAAAGATCAGCTCGCCTCCACCACCGAGCCGGCCGTCAATAAAGATGAACTGGACTCCATCCTGGGAGACGTGAGTGAGAGTCGAGCGCCACTGATGCAAACGTGTTTCAGGCGTACCTACGAGACACAACATCTGATCACACAGAGGAGGAGCTGTGATGCAGYCTGACCTACAAATCAATAAGTGATGAGGAGCAATGTGTCATTCTGGATTAGAGCAACACTTGTCCTCACCGCCTGGATTCTCTGCTGTGCCTCACAATTCACTTTGAGCTGCACAAAATCCCTGTTATAGTTAGTTTATCTAGATATGATTTCCCAAACCTGTTATTTTTTTGGGTGAAGCATTAATTCCTGCAAGGACTGACAAAAAATTTCATTAAAAAAACTCATCAATGCTGCTCAAATCATGATCAATATCTATTCACAAATGTCTGGCTGATCAATAGAGCAAACAYCTAAAAATATCAATAAAATTATTGGATTTATGGCTTTTAAATCTGCTTCAAGGACATTTGTGTACATTACAAATGTAAGACTTTAACGCTGAAAAGACGTCATTCACATTTTTAACAGCACTGAAACTGTTGCTGCTTCAGGTGAAGTTGAGGAATTAAAAACAAACAAACTGGTCTATGAAGGTTTAAAACGAAGTACATTAACAAATAACTTTTTTAAAAAAACAAACAAATGATAACCAGTGAATTTTTATTTCCTGTGAAGATGCAACGAGAATGTTTAATATTGAAAGATTATGCTGAATACCTAAAAATGCTGAAACTAGCATGAAAATAACTAGAAAAAGTAGCTGAAATAGCTGAAATTAGCACGAAGAAACAGGATGAGCATGGTTTTGACTTTAGCAGTAAGAAGATGAAATTATCACATAAAGCTGAGTTTAGCAGAAAAAACAATGTTCAAATCAGCTAAAAAAACCAGCTGAAATCAACAGAAAGCAGCTGAGAGACGCATAAGAAGTTGAACTTAACAGAAAAATAGAAAAGGTCAAAACGTTTGCTAAAAAAACAGAGAAAAAGCTAAAATCGGCTAAACTAACTTTTAGAAACTCTAGGAACCTCAAGTAAACCTGCAGTCAGAATAAAGTGCTCTGTCAGGAGAATATGTTTAAAATAAGTCTTTTATGTTGRTTCTGTAAAGGTTAACAGTGTAACAACCGGTTGTGTGATACGAGTGTAACTTTTATTTTTGTTTTATCATATCACAGCAGAGCTCCATTGACGGCCTGTTGCAGTGGGCCTTTCACAACATCGCTCGGCCTCTTCCAGACTCGCAGGGATGCTACCAGTAAAAAGTTGCCCAAACATTGAAAATTTGCTCAAATAATGTTTAAATGACCTAAAACTGTAGACCCGCCTGATGTTTACAGCCTCTTTCATGCTGCAGGGTAAATAAACGAGCATTGGCAGATTTYAGATTGCTTCAGTGTTTTTTTTTCTCTCCAAGGACTTTATTTTACGTCAACACCTTATCCAGTTTTTCCAAGATTCGTGTGCAGTTTTGTGGAATTTGTAAACAGGACCGGGGGGTCACTGCAGACGTGGGAGAGCTGGGAGAGGGTCATTGACTTATCTGCTCAAGCATGACTGAATCTCAGAGGTCCAGAAACGTTCAGCGTTTTGTTCGTTTGTGTCTTTCTGCAGCAGCAGCAGAGGGGATAATAGAAAAGTTCACAAAGGATGCCCCTGTATACATATAAAGTGTGCACATGCTGTTGGTTAAAGAAAAAAAAAAACAACGAGAACAAACCTCCTCTATTTTCTGTTTGGGTTTGTAGCCTTTTGCGTCCACATGTCACACCAGATGGTTTCAATACAGCGCGGTATGCTCCCTGAGAAATGTCTCTGTTTGACAYGAATTCCTTGAGAGCTAACTCACGCAGATGGGGAACGTTGTTTTTCTCATGAGTTGTGGCGCGGCTTGCCAAGAGGACGAAGTCCGGGCCAGGCAGCTAGCTCAAAAGATGTTTTCTCCTCCTCGGTGTTTGGTTGCCATGACACGCAGCTCCTCCGAGGGCGTTCGACAGATGATGACAAGCGGGATCTTTGCGGTTGYGTTTGTGCGTGAGCAGATTTGATCTATCCATCGGCACGTTTCAGATTGTGAAAGCATTCCTGTAAACCTGAGGCCACCAGAGGGAACACTGCCTCGATGACWTACAGTGAGATGAACAGACAAATGATGAAGGGCGTAGAATACCTTAAAAGAATACTCACCAACTTCAGATCAGCTTTGCTCCAACACTTAATGATTTTAGGTGGAGTCTTATGCGGTCTGAGATGGGATGTGTTGGTATTTGAAGTATGCGTTGTTAATCAGCTACTATCAAACTTTGCACACAGATTAAAACCCTTATCTTTCTGTCATCGGGTGGAAGAATGAAGAGAACAAATCAAACAAAAACAGCTTAAAAAGACATTTTAATGCTTTTAAATCCTTCCTTGCCATATTTAAATCATTCAGTTGGGGTCTACATAAAGTGGAACTGCAATGCTTTGGTCTGAATTCTTCCTTATTGTAGCTCCACAAGCCCCTCTTTCAACCCTGTTCTGAGGTGCRTCTGAGAGCAACTTGTTTCAGTGCTGTCTCTTTAAATGCAAATGAGCCCCCCACCCCACCCCCCACACACACACCCACCCACACCCCTCCACACCGTCTGACCATTTTTGGAGTTTGATAGCAGATTGCTGAATTGGTCCATGTTTAGCTAGCCTGGCCCTTGCTAGTTCCCTTCACTGCCAAGCGAAGCGAAGCGWAGCCAGTCCGTGTTGATAAGGTTTCCAAATTAAATTAAATTTGTCTGACAAAGCTGCAGCTTTCATTTACAGTCATCTCATTCAGCTCGGTACTTCTCTTTCCTCAGTAGGGTTATTTACAGCACACGCAATTTCCGGTTAGCTTCTTAGCTTAGCCTCCCTCACAGTGGAGCTGACGTACACATACGTCGCGGCCAACAGATCCAGTCGTTTTAAACTTCAGCAGAGGCCACGGCTCCAGAAAGATTTGCTTCTCTATAGCCGAGAGTCCAGACCCTCGTACAAAACAAAGTGAAGGACATGGGTCTGGTTTTTACCAGGCTAATGTTTAGCAGTTCCTCAGCAAATACTGTGACACTATTGTCTAAAATACATAATACAGAACAGAGAAAACTGGGGAAAAAAGAATACTAGGATATCTTTACAGCACCGGGAGAGACGATCAGCAGAACTCCACGTGCACAACAAAATGTATTCAACAGCTAAAAAAAGTTAATTTTGCATATGACCCATTTAAAATTGTGTGTTTTGTAAGTAATTTTGCACAACTGCCATCCTAAAAAACTTTAAACCACATCTAAGAGTATTTTGCCATAAAATATATGCTTTATTCTTAGAAGTTTTATTTTTAGAATTTGTTTTCCATATATAAAACACAATTACAAAGATAAACGACTTCTTATTGAGATAAAAAAAAAGGGGGAAAGCAACTAATTTTACACTGCAAGGTGGCTGCAGCTGCAGTTCCACTTTCTATACACTTGCCAATAATCAATGAGTGGAATAAAAGAGGAAACATTTCCTCAGTCTCTGTGCTGACATGGAACATGGAATTACCCTGATGTTATCAGAAGAAATGCAACAGATCTGCATGCAAATAAAGAAAAGATGTGTTTAGTTGTTTTTTATTTTATTTTTGGTAGCAAAACAGTGCTGGTCCCAAAAACATCAACTTAAACAGTTTTGAAGCATGATGAATACAGATCTATAACCCTATAATGAACCTGTTCAAATGAATTACCCCAAAAGTTGTAAAAATGTGTTGACATAGAAACGTTTCCACAGCTTCCTAAAATTATCGCCAAAGTCATTTTATTCAAGTTCTTCAGGAAACACACAAAAGCTTAAATTAAATTGTACTAACGTTTTTTGAGATTCCTGTCAAACTTGATAAAAAATGATTCAGGCGATTATTTTAGGAAGGTGTCGATTTTAAAACGGAAGTGTTTTTAAAATAATCTGCTTGTCATGATTTTAAAAACCTCATAGTTTATAAAAATATGAGAATATAAAGAAAAGGGTTTCTCTCAGGGATGTTTCTTGTATGACAGTTTTCTGTTTGGAAAGTGAGCAAAATAACAGTAAAGTGTTATAATTTCTGCCAGTTTTCTGTTTGTTACTCAGTGTGAAGCCACGTTGGTTAGGTTCCTGTTAGAAGTGTGTTGGTCACAAGACCGGTATTTATAGGGGAAAAACAAAAGAGATTTCCACAGTTCAGGAACACATTACTTTTTTTTTACTATGAAGAATGTTAGGCAGTTTCCCACTATCTGGGCAAAGGGTCCGAAGAGATGAAATTTTTATGATTTCCAGGCGAGACCCTTCAGTCTTTGTGAGCACTATTGTTGCAGGGAGGAGACATCCTGTTCCAGATCCTGCACGGTTCAGGCACTGAGCTGCACAACAGATTGTTTTAATTCTTTGAACTGCAGAGTGCAGTTTTCTTTTGTTAAGTATCTTTCATAGCAGATRTAAGGTTTTCAACAATAGTACTGAAACACAAAAACTTCTTTAYTGTCAGAACAAAACACAAATTTAACAGTTCTGGATAAAGTTCAAACGTGGCTGATAGATGGCAAAAATGTTTTAGATAAAGTTGTGTAAATGAATTAAACCCATTTTTGTGTTTTCTAAGGTCAGCTGGCTGTGGCGGCCATCTTGAAATGGATTGACTCTAAAGGTTAATCAGTTTTAGAGATACAGTCAATAATTATTTTACGGAAGTTTCAATAAATTCCAGTAGTTTATTAGACAGAGCAAACACATTTTAGTAGTGGACAAAAAAAAAAGGAAATAAAATAAAACAAAATACGTTAACACATAAGCTGCAACTGTATGAGGACAAATAAAATAAATTCAAAAATCCATAATTTTATTAATGGAAACTGATATGATAGCCAGAACTTCTAAGCTGCAAACATTGAATATTTTTAGGCTTTGATTTATTTATTTATTTTCCCCCAAAATTGTGAAATGAAAACAAAAAAACCTTTTGAGTTTTTTTTCTAAAAGTCGTTGGGATCGGAATCAAATACCTTTTTCACCTTTGCCTGATTTAGCGGGATGGTTTTACGCCAACATTCCTGAGTTATATAACTGTGGACCCGAGTCAGAAAGGTCCAACAGCCTTATTTGTGTTTCTGATCTGATCTAAGTGGATCAGAACATAATGTTTGCTGGGGGCGGGTGAATATGGTGTCAACACCCACCCCCCCTACACACACACACACAGTCATGTCACATGCCTTTCCTTTTATGCCAAAATACATTTCTCTCTGCTCCTTCCAGTGCAAAGCTTCCACTTTTTGTTTTTGCTCACCACTTCTTCTTCTTCTTCTTCTGCTTAAAATACCACGGTGAGCTCTAAAATGGCCTGAATGTGCGGTTGTGGAGGAAGAAATCCCTCCTAACCGTTTCTGTCCCCTGAGAAGTCCAGATAATGACACGCTGCCTGCAGAGATTGCAGGGTTGCCATCGGTATGGAATTGTAAACAKAGCAGAGGAGGCCTGTTAGGACATTCCAGAAAAGTCCTCAAGCGGAGATTCTTGGAAGAGCTACCCTGGTGTTTGTATKCTTGCGTTGGGACAGCAGTTTCCTGAGGTTGCTGCCCTCGCCTGAGTGAGAATAATTTGAGAGTAAGGAGAGGATGACAGATAAAGATGTGATCTGGCTGCCGAGYAAAAACAAGAAAGAATTTCTGAAGCGTTTTAACTATCACTGAAACGGTTTATCATTTAAAATACAAAGAAAATTGGATTTTAAAACACTTAAAGTGAGCTTAGTGAATTGACAGGAGCTGATCCGGGTGAAAATAGCTAATAGGAAAAAAGGCTTGTTGACAATAAAATAAAACATTCATAGTATTTTATGATGACAATAAAATAAAAAATTAAAATTAAATTAAAATTAAAATTACAGTAAAATTAAAAAAGTTGGATCTGACACTTGTGCATGAGACTGGTCTAAGGCTGAATCATATTTACTGTATAATAAAAGTTGTCTTTTAGGATTTAGTGATTAAGATCAAAACTCATTTCACCTCTTCTCTTATTTTGTAACCCTACCCTTATGTTTAGTACAAATAATAAATAAACACGGATTTTTGTGATATCATATGACAAGAGTCAAAAACTTCATTCTTAGACCACACTGTAAATGATTTTTGTTGTTTTTACTGTAAATTTACTGTATTTGCAACAGTAATTTACTGTAGAAACTGTTTACATTAAGTTGCTGTAAATTTTGTTGTTTTATGTCAATATTACTGTATTGTCAACAGTAATGTACTGTAAATATTTATACAGTGCATTACTGTTTATTTGTAATGCATTATGGGAATTTGCACTGCTTATTGTAAAAAAAAAATAC